GTTATCTGGGCATTGAGAATTATACAGTACTAAGTAGGTAGGTTATTGCCTTTTGTTTTTTTTTTCTTTTTCTTTCCCTGTTCAAGATTTTTTTTTGTCTAAAATGTTAGGTCATCTTTCAGTTTGTCTGTTGGACACACATATTAGTGTAAGTTTTCTTTATATATATATATATATATATATATATATAAAAGTGAACATTGGAATCAACACTCAGAGGCGACAGGTTCTTTCATGCTGGATGCAACCGTTGCGTCCAGCATGAAACAGCCTGTCACCTCTGAGTGCTGACCTCAATTTTCACTTTTATATTTATATATACATATGCTCTATCTCTGATATTGAGCCCATTATCCCATAAATATGACACACCTTAAAACTGTATTTCTTCATATATATATATATATATATATATATATATGCATATATAAAACACTAATATGCAGTCTACCTTACTTCTTGGGTTTCAACTGCAAGGTCTCCTCAGGCAAATAGAAGAATTCTTCTACTTAGTGTTTTGTAAATATTTTTTCTCTGCCTTTTCTATTTGGTAATTTTGTACATTATTTACATAATACTTAATCTCAGAAATATAGACAGATACTGGGAATTTTGTATTGATCACTTTTTAGTGTTTATACCTTTTAGGCATGGCTGTTTTCAGCCTCCTATTACAGTATATTATTTTCTATTTTGTGTGTGTATATATATATATATATATATATATATATATATATATATATATATATATATGACCTCAGGTTACACTTTTTATATTTACATGTTCTCTCTCTCTGATATTAGTACTTTTAACCATAAATACTGAACACCTTAATATTATATTTTAATCATATATATATATATATATATATATATATATATATATATATATATATATGTAAGTGAACATTGAAGTTCTAGCATGAAACAGCCTGTCGTCTCTACGTGTTGACTTCACTGTTCACTTTTATATTTACTCACGCTCTATCTCTGATATTGAGCACTTTATCCCATAAATATAGCACACCTTAAGACTATAATTCTTATATATATATATATATGTTTAAAATATAGTTTTAAGGTGTGCAGTATTTATGGTTAAAAGTACTCAATATCAGAAAGAGAGAGAGAGAGAGCATATGTGAATATAAAAGTGCACGCAGAGGTCAAAATCAAATGGTGGCAGTCTGTTTTATGTGCAATCTATAGACGTAATGATTGCTTTCAAGCATGGAACAGACTGGAATTCAAACTGGCCTCTTTGATTTCTTAATCTGACGTGCTATCTACTCCATCACCATGCATCCATCTCTTCTCTCCCCACCAACCATGGATAAATAGGAGCATTGTCCAAGCTCTCTAGCCTCGGTTGCCGACCAGTCTATGAGAAAGTTAACTCTGAATTCAAAAACCTGAAGACGGTCATTTGGAGACACTCTGGCATAATATGTGCATTAGTTCTCTGTATTTGGTTCCTCCAAAAGTGATTTTACCATTATATTTTAATCATAGGTGCAAATAGTCTGGCTGTTTAGTTCTAAGAACTGCACTGGCATGCTCTCATGTGTCAAAAACAATGGCAGTGTCCATTATGTGTGTATATTATAAAGAATATATATTATAAAGAATTAATCTGTAAAGTTAATGTAGTTAATGGTGAAATCTCTTTGCTAACAAATTTAATAAAGCATTAACCTCCTAACCTTTTAAAATTGTAAGATGGATTTAATGTTCCAGTGCTAGTACTTTTGAAAATCTTCACATTTTCATCATCAGGCTTTAATATTTTTTCCATTTTAGGTGAACTCTATGAGGAAATAAATGTATTGTAGACTGAAAGATGTTTTTTAAGAATGTGTTATTTATTAATGGTTACATAATTTTGAAATGTGCAATGTTGCAATGCTAGTGTTGTATTTTGAATATTTCAAGTGAGAAATTTTTTCTGAATATAGTAATGTGGTAAATCCATGAATTTTTTTGTTGTAAGTGTTTTTAAGTTAATGTGGCATGAACAATCTGGTTCAATTATTAGACTAATGTCTTAGCAGTTTTTCCAGAATTTTGTACTGTGGGTCAGTTTTTTTCATACATATATTAAATAATGCAGTATATATATATATATATATATATATATATATATTATAAAGAAGTAATAATGCAAAGAATTAATCAGTAAAATACTAGCACTGGAACATCAAATCCATCTTACAATTTTAAACATAAGGATTGCATCATTCAATGAATGGTTAGTAAGTTAATGCTTTATTAAATTTGTTAGCGAAGAGATTTTGCCATTAATTACATTAACTTTACTGATTAATTATTTGTATGATTACTTCTTTACTGATCGACCAGCTGGGTAATTTTCAAACATGTTTGGTTAAATAACGTCAACAAAATCTGTCTATCGCTTTTTTTGTTAACATTTTCAAATTTCCAAATTAGTTGTTTTTTTTTTTAATGCTTCCATTTTCAAGGATTGTTCTGTCTATATTGACACAACTGTTTTCTTTTTATTTCTGGTGTTCTTATGTTTGATGGAACCATTTTTAAGTCAGTCAATATGACGTCATTTAAAGTGAGTAAGTGACTCTACCATTCCACTTACTGTTTGCCCATTCACCTGAAGACGTACAACGTAGTAGCAAAACATGAAAGCTATTGTGTAGCAATTACAACATGTTTTTGTCCCAATATCATAAATAAAATAATAATAATAAAATATTGGTCTACTTTGTATTGATCACTTTTTAAAAAAAGTAAATATTATGAACAGTAGAGTTTTACTTCATCTTTTCTTTCTCTCATTTGGACATATATATATGTATATATCTATATATTATTTACAATATTCGGACAATTGTCCTCATCTTTGTTGCCATGTTTATAACAACGTTTCGGCCTTCTTCAGGTGGTTGGAATGTCAAACTGAACCCTTTATTTCGCTCACTGGGGTAGACTGTTCTAGTTCCACATGTGATGTCTAATGGATGTCAGTTATCTCCTGTTAATTCCCCTCTGAAAGTTCTCCATCGCCTTAACCAGGTATTGAACTCATACTCTTTGGGTCCTGTCACTGGATCTAACTAACACCTATGCCATGTGTCCTTGAGGACATCTGTGTATGAATTTCTGGGTATTATAAACCTAATGTCTTATATATATATATATCCAAATGAGAGAAAGAACAGATGAAGTAAAATTCCGTTGTTCGTAGCTTTTACTTTTTTAAAAAGTGCCCAATACAAAGTAGACCAGGGTGTGGTTTTATATTTTTAATTTAACGCAAGTGCTTCGTTTGTTTTTGATTTTGTTGACTGCACAGTATAGTAGGGTCAGTTGGGCACCATCTGTGAGAAAAAGAGCACCATGATGCAATTCACTCTGCCAGAAATTTGGAAACTGCATGCTGTAATGTTTGGTATTCACACTGGAAACTCCAATACAAACATTTCAGAGTGCTTGGGTGTCTATCTGAGGACAGTGCAGTAGATTCAGAAAGAGTTGGATGAGTCTAATGGTGATTATGAAGGTACAGCAGTTCAGAAAACTCACTCTGATTGTTCTGATAAGAAAAGAAATTCCATACAAGCAGAAGAATGCAGTCATGGCTGTCAGACAATTTCTGTGACCACATCACCCACTACGTCTGGTTAGCTAATTCCCCAGATTGCAACCCCCTTGATTATTTTATGTGGGGTGCAATTGAGAGAGAGACCAATAAAACTCCTTGTAACACCAAAAATGAATTGAAGACAAGGATTATGGCAACATTCACCATCTTAAATAAGGAGAGTGTCCAGAAGAGTTGCAGGAGATTCTGAAGTTGTCGTGGTTTTAGCCAATGGCGATTTCATTGAATAAATTTACTCTTTAGTATTTCAAGATATTTTGTGTAATGTTGGTAAATATATCTGATGCCAATATTATTTTCATATTTGTGTCATTTAGACGACAATTTATGTAAATTGATGACTAAAGAAGCAATGTTTCTAAAATTAATTTTCATAGTTTCTCTCATTTTTATTTTAAAATAATTTAGTATCTACAAGCACAAAAATTCTCTTTAAACTTTGTATTTTCCCTCCGGTTAATAAGATTTAAGGGAAGTAACTTTCATCTGAAATTTTGAGTTATCTCCCGTTATATTGGTACTGTGACGTTCAATATTTCCTGAATTGTTGGAATTGCTGATCCTGGGCCGAGTACTTTCGACAAATTCTTGCTTGAATCATTTAAACTCTAGCGTTGCAGAATCGCACGTTCCAAAATAATATAACTGTCAATAAATAGCATATTTTTAAAAAGTATATTTCGGTCTACACTACATTTACTTCGTCTTGGTGTTTACCTGTAAATGGAAATATTACGTCCTGAAGATGACAATTTGAAATTGTCGAAAGTACTCGGCCCAAAATCATCAATTCCATTAGACAACAATTCAAATATAATTATCATGTTATTCAAGTTATTGATGAGATATTAACTTAAATATTTCATTAAGTCTTGTTAGCGAAGTGATTTCGACATTAATTACATTAACATTGCTAATTAATTCTTTGTATAAATTGTTTCTTAATGATATATAAACATGTATGATTTATAAACTGTAATATACCAAGGTTTGAATGGATTGTGTAACCAATAGATGGAGATTTCTAAGGAAGAATATCGCTGAATTTTAAAAATATCAACGCAAGAAATATTGAACGTTACAGTACCAATATAACGGGAGATAACTCAAAATTTCAGATGAAAGAAGTTACTTCCCTTAAATCTTATTAACCGGAGGGGAAAATACAAAGTTTAAAGAGAATTTTTGTGCTTGTAGATACTAAATTATTTTAAAATAAAAATGAGAGAAACTATGAAAATTAATTTTAGAAACATTGCTTCTTTAGTCATCAATTTACTTACAAAAAGTTTTAAGAGTAATACTTTAATTTATGTCTACATTCAGCAAATTAATTTTAATTATTTTTATTTTATTCTCTCAGGCTGAAGTCTGTAGCCACCCTGGTTGTGGCACGTTTTGGCTAAAAAGCGGAATCCTCGATAGAAAAAAAGGGATTCAGGTTCGATTCCTGTCGGATGCACAAACTTTCTATTACTACAGTGTGGGGTATCTACTAACAAAAGCGATGGAAAGTGTAGGAATATTATTATTATTATAAATAAATAATAATAATATTTAAAATAATAATAATGAAAATTATAAATAAAATATAACATTAAAACATTGTATAAAATAAATTAAAGAAAAACTAAAATTAATAAAAATAGTCCCAGCATGCAACAAAACTGTTCCTGTCGGAACTACGGACATTCCGCCAAAAGACATTAAATGCAATCTCTTCACCACGAACCTTAAAACGGGCAACACGTGTCTAACTTCTTATTACATGTACCATAAAGCAAGTGAAACCTGAAAAAAATACACGCACCAATACACACAGAAATATAAATAAATTGTATGAAATTAACATAAAATTTGCTATGATTTTTCTGTTATTTCTGCACGTTTTATTTTCTGTGAAGATTGGTTTTATCTCCGTGAACACGAAGCTAATTTCTACTGCAATGACGTGAGTGAATCCCACAAAAGAAAAAGAATCAAAACAAAATAGGCTAGATTAAAATGTTCTTAAAAATTTCCCAGCATCCCTTGTTCGTGCGCATGCGTAGTCGGACCAACATAACAAATTTAGTCCGATGAAGTCCTAAATGACGACACGTACAGCAAGAAAAATTTTTCCACTTTGTCATACATTTTTCCCCAATATTATTCTTGCTCACTACTTATATTATTCGGACTATTGTCCTCATCTTTGTCGCCATATTTATTACAACGTTTCGGCCGTTGTACGATCCGGCCTTCTTCAGTTGGTTGGAATGTAGAAACGTTGTAATAAATATGTCGACAAAGATGAGGACAATAGTCCGAATAATGTAAATAGTGTACATAATTCCTCATCTCAGAAATATAGACAGATTAGTCTTGCTATTTAAAAATATTTATTGTTATCTCTCTCTCTCTCTCTCTCTCTCTCTCTCTCTCACACACACACACACACACACACACACACACACACACACACACACACACACACACACACACTCCAATGTAATAAATTATAACCTTGGAATATTAGTGTTTGAGCCTTTTATATTATATTCTTGCTCTGTCCTGGACTTTGAGTTCTACCTGGATTCTACCCTCTTGGAAACTTATATACACTGCGTGCCAAATTATTATCGAATTGAATCGATATTTCAAAAAACCTCCAATCAATTCACACAATGTTGGCAACACTGACTGCGCAATCACGGAAATTTTCGTACTGATCTGCGCAATGTAAACAAATTGGCGCCATATTTGTTATCAACACGGTGATTTGAGAGTGCCAAATTATTAGAAAAGTGTAAGAATTTAATGAAAAGATGGGCCGTAAAAGCAGTTTAAGTGATGCTGAAAAGAAAACTATCACCTCAGAACTCTCAAAAGGTAAATCTACCCTAGAAATTTCTAAAATGATAGGGAGGTGTCATAAAAAAAAAGTTCATCGCCGACCCTACACAAGTACGCAAAAGGGCAGATAAAGGCAAGCCGAAGGTTATTTCACGTTGTCTCATGTCACGACTTAAACGAGAGGCGACGAAGGACCCTGGACTTACCAGTCAAGAGCTTTTCAGTCGCATTGGGGATCCTACTGTGTCTAAAAGTACTTGGTTTCGGTATCTGAGGGAAATAGCAACAACAGTCAAACCTGTATCGAAGCCTCCGTTGACGAGAAATCACATTCAAAATCGATTGAAATGGGCCGAGGACAATATGAAGATTGACTTCTCTAAAGTTTTGTCCACAGACGAAACTTGAGCAACACTTGATGGGCCAGATAGATGGTGCAAAGGCTGGGTAATGAACGGACAGAATCGCCATCAGCATTTGAGACGCCAAGAAGGTGGTTGGGGCATAATGATCTGGGGTGGTATTATTGGAAAAACATTAGTGGGTCCATGGCGTCAAAATGTATGCTGATGCATACATAGCGTTTATGAAGGAGCATCTTAAACCGTGGATGAAAAGGCAGAGACTTGCCTTCAGAAGGGCAATTGTTTTTATGCAAGATAATGCTCCCTCACATGCTGCTCACAAGACTACTGAATATTTGAAACAGTTAGGCTTCGACGGAGCTCGAAAAATGAAGTGGCCAGCAAATTCTCCCGATTTGAACAGAATCGAAAACATTTGGAGCATCATGAAGCGAAGACTGTACGCCAATGGACGACAATTCAGGAGCAACGCTGAGTTGTGGGAAGCAATTCTTGACATATCTCGCGGCATTACAGCAGATAACATCCTACAATTAACAAATTCTATGGATCGTAGACTTCTTCAAGTAATTTCAAAACTGGGAAAGCACATTCCCTATTAATTTGTTTATAACTGTGCATTTGTTTGTATCTGTTATTATTTGTTTGATTATCTTATTTATTAGGTTCTTTTGATCATAAACATTCACGTGCAACATTAATAAATGTTTTGTTTTCTCAATTCTGGGAATTTTACTAAACCTTTCTAATAATTTGGCACTCTCAAATCACCGTGCTGATAACAAATATGGCGCCAGTGTGTTTACATTGCGCAGATCAGTAAGAACAATTCAGTGATTACGCAGGTCAGTATTGCCAACGTTGTATGAAAATTTTGTGTGAATTGATTGAACTGTTTTTGAAATATTAGAAAAAAAGTTATCTCAGTAATAATTTGGCTACAGTAAACATATATATATATATATATATATATATATATATATATATATATATATATATATATATATATATATATATATATATATATATATATATATATATATATATAGACGACTAATATTATCAATATATATATATATATATATATATATATATATATATATATAGATATATATATATATATCTATATATATATATATATAACGAGAAGACTAATATTATCTATATATATATATATATATATATATATTATCTATATATATATATATATATTGAAATATATATATATATATATATATATATATATATAGACGACTAATATCAATATATATATATATATATAGACGACTAATATTATCAATATATATATATATATATATATATATATATATATATAGACGACTAATATTATCAATATATATATATATATAGACGACTAATATTATATATATATATATATATATATATATAGACGATATATTATCAATATATATATATATATATATACAACTAATATTGTCAATATATGTATATATATATATAGACGACTAACATTATCTATCTATCTATATATATATATATATATATATATATATATATATATATATATATATATATATATATATTTATACACATATATTGGCACAAATATTGTTAGTGTACTATTCAAGAGTTCCAACGTCAGTAAATTTCTTTGCTTCTGCCTTCAAAGTAAAAGATGATTAGCTTTTTTCTTTATGAACGAAAACAAGACGATTTCACGTTTCTTTACGATAAAGATAAATGGTGATAATGATCGAAAATGCAATTATTTTTTATTCGGATGTTTGAAGTGAATAGATCGAGAAAAAAAAAGAAAAATCTGGATATAATAACCATGAAAGCCTTCATTTCACTAAACCGAAGCTGAAACCAAACAAAATTCGAAGCGTCATCAAGAGAACCTATTCAACCGAATCAATTGAAATTATCCCGATGCTGTAGAAATTACATGGAAGACCGAAAATTGAATTATTAAATTCCTGACTTATTAAAAAAATGCATTAAAAAAAAATGAAAACAGTTCAGAGGCAAGTCAATATAATGAAAGATGGTTTTCATAAGTATACCTCGCATCAAAAACTGAATTTGTTCAACATCCTATACTTAGAGGACAGAAGAAATCAGGTTAAGTTGATTTAAAGGCTCAAGATTTTGAATCGGCTCACAGATATTGATTATACTGGCCTACACATTTTTCGGTGCCAATCACCTTACATTTTTGAGATGCCGAGTCCAAAAATAAAGTCTTTTTTTTTTTTTTACTTCTTAACTACAGATTTTGCTGTACAGAACTTGATTATTCTGTCAAGAATTTTACCAAAAATTCTTTGGGTGCCCCCCCGCATAATATTTAATTCTTACATATTCAAAATTTTCCTGCAATTCACGTGAAAGAAGCAAACTGAATGCTCACCCGCGCTGATTGGCCGACAAGATATGGGCTCTTCCAGCGACATACATCTCGCCCTCTCTTTTATTGACCGAGATACGCGAGTCGGGGGAGACGGGAAATACCCTGTATGCCAATTACACATGTACGTATATACATAAAAAATATTTATATGTATGCATACTGTATATGCATTGTATGTATTAATACGTATTAACATTAACACTCTCGCTCAGGCTCACTGTTAATAACTCCTTCTCGAATTGCCCCCTTATTCTGTTGGTATAGTAAGCCGAAGGGTGCACATCCTACGCATGCCCTACCAAAAAATTACGCCCCACGTTGGGAATAATTGATTTATAACCAGCATATATTCAACTTAATTCTTAATACATCTCGCAAAAAAAACATGAATATTATTGAATTTCTGTTTGATGTCCAGACCATCTGTTTTTTCTATTTCGTATCTTGTCTTGCTTCCTAGTGATTTTGGGGACTTTAAAACACATAATGAATATAATGTTTATAGATGTAGATTATATATATATATATATATATATATATATATATATATATATATATATATATAAATTAACTGGTTTAAAATATAGTTTTTTCTTTACACAGTAATAACCATGTTTCAAAAGTGGAAGCTAAAACTTCAAATTTAATTTTGTAATTAAATTAAAAACATTTAGATCCATTTCATCTTCAAGCGAATATTGGAGTAACTTATTTCTTAAAATTTACTGAGTTTTAAACGCACACAAAAATTCATAATTCACTGTTTCCAAGGA